TATAGTTAGATCACAAACTTTTTAAACGCTAATTTTGTCCTTACATATCTACCTGTTTATTTACCTATATATTCAAAATCATTTAATTTCTTTTCTAATCTTCCAAACAATATCAAAATCTCTCACCTCTCTTCTCTTCTTTTCTTTTTTATCCAAAACTCCCACCCATAAATATCACGCCTGTGTGACTTCTAAAATTTGTTGGGCAATAGGGTCCAATAATGCTTTTAATTGGATCAATTACTGGACATCAAATGGAAGTCCAGTTTCGGAGGTAGAGGCTGTACCGTGCAACTTGAAGTGACAAGACATAGTTCAATTCTTACTTGGTTTACTGTTACGTGCAAACAAAGCTGCCATTACATTTTTTGAAGCAAACACTATCTCATAAGCCCATCTTAAAGTCCCAACACTAGTATCGTAGGCATCGTAGCAGCTTTGGGTCAATTATTTTGTTGGCCCATACTTGGATATAATTGGATTGGGGGTGAGCTTCTTCCACTCTTTGACAGCTAAAAAATTATTAAAATCTTCTAACCAAATCAAAATCCTTAAAAACTCTCTACATTGAAATTTATTGGGATGTTGAAACAAAAACTATATTTAAAAGTCATTATCTTGCTCATCATATGCAAACAATCCAAGAGTTAAACAAATCACAGCTAGTTGATTAGGATTAACTTCATGACAGTAGCAGGAGTGATTAAAGATAAGCTAGTTTTTTGAGTGCTTCTAACTAAAATTGTAACATAAAATGGTATTGTTGAAAGTCCACAGCAACTACAATTAGGAGCTTAATGTCCCGGAAGTTTTTTTTTATTCTTGATCACATTTTGAAATGGCAATTGATCTTTATTTTCGTCCCAGCAAATAGGCTAGATAGGGAAGAAGGCTTAGCGTAGCTAATTATATATTAACCAGTTAATTTGATTGCCTATACGACTGAAAGGAACAGAAGCTCTCCAAAACTTCTCCATCATCATTTTTTTTTTTTTTTGGCCTCGAAAGATGATAAATAAAATAACCAACTCGACAGAGGTTGATGGAACTTTCTGATTTATATGAGACGAAGTAGTTTTAAGTATATCATTTTCAAGCATTGAAGAAAAATTAAGGTGCGTCAACATCATGCCACCTAAACATTTCCTCTTGAAATATCAAGATGCATTTGTTTATTATTTCAAGTCCAAATACATTGGTTGGGAACGTCATTTCTAGTCTACATTGTACGACAACATTATTTCTAGCATTTTTTTTTTAAAGTTTTGCTTTTATCAGCAAAATTCAAGTAGTAATGTCATAATAACTTTTTCCTGATAACATGTCAAAAAATATTTTTTCAAGTAAAATTTAAATAGCATCACAAATTGATTTGATAAGGATAGTTTTGTGATGACATTAAAATTTTTGATAGTTTTATAAACTCCCCTTGAGGTTTTTGACAATTACAATCACTTCCTCTAAGATTTGAAAAATTAAGAAAATCTCTCATAGAAAGTATGTCTGGATAACAATTCATGTTGTATAAATTGATTAATAAATATAGCAAGAAAAGTCAGGAATGAAGTATAACGTATGAAATTAGACGACATTTGTGTTTTAGAATAAAAAAGTATTACCAAAAAAGAATTTTTATTTTTTCTCTTTTAAACTCGTTTTCATTTAAAATTTGTAAAGTTTATGAAGGCTATCATAGTTTTTTTGTAGCAACAACAAGGTAAGTAAGTTTAATTTTTTAAACCTTAGGAGAGGCAACTACAATTATTAAAAGCTTCAAGGGAGGTTTTGAAAATTACCCCTTAAAATTTTAGCTATAGAAATTAGAGCATGATTTATTGTTAATCCGTCAACGTCGAAGTGCCCCAAATTTCTTGCAAAAAAACAAATAATTGAGGCATTGTCGAACGTCACCCTCTTAGATGGATGGCGTATTCACTCGGGGGGCACAATTTCACGTGGCTGGACAAGAGACTTGCCAATCAGACATCAACGAGTGTGGCTTTGATGAACCAACCACCTCAATAGTATTTGGTCACCCCGTTTTTGTCTCTGTCTCTGTCTCTGTCTTTGTGAGGTAAAGGCAAGGTTCAAATCTTATTTTTTATAAAAAAAATTAAAATTTAATGGGACTTTTTTTTTAAATTCGTAAGAGGCACTTGTACGCCGGTTTCTAGCAATCGCGTTGGATCATCTCTTTAATATAAGTTAGAGTAAAAATAGACGTAGATTGTGACAATAGGTAAAAAAAAAAAATGATTTTGATGCGACATTTTAAGTAATTAAAATTAATAACACTTATTCAAGCCAAATGTAACAAATTAAAATTTTTTTTTGGAGATAGCACATAGTCCTTACAAAAAAACTTATCTCATTTTTTCATAAAATAATGAAATGAACAGCTTTTATCCAATAGAATTAAGACATGATTAAACTTTACCAGTTGATGACTGGTAAGATCTGGACCAGATTTCATTTACTCACAACATTGATGAATGTTTCAAAACGACAGTAGAGTAGATTAGACGTGGCAAAAGCCCCTCAAAGATCCATACCTTTTCTTTTCATTATGTAAAGGATTTTTCTAACGAATATTCAATATATTCACTTTTTTCGTCCGGTTTCTAAAAATTTACCACGCATGACTACGTTTAAAACACTCTTTTGCTATAATGAAACCAAAACCGTGGTTTCTAACGTAACGTGGTATGGAAAACAGAATATTGGAAATTTGCAACGAATAATATATTTATGACATCAAGGTCTCAACATCTGAAATGGCCTTGTCAATTGCCTGCCGCTTGCTGAAATTGTGTGTAGTGCTTTTAGATTAGACACGTTTTCACAAATTCTATGTTTGTGCTTCTTTCACTCCCACGGATCATTAATTAGCATAATAAGACTTTGTCAAGTTGCTCACGCTACTGTTTTTTTTTTTTTTTTTTTATAAAAATAATAATAATAACGATTCATAGGTCAATTAAGGTATCAAATAGCGCAGTGGAATCGATAGTGACCTTAAAAAGGAAATGTCATTCGTTGGTCAAAGTTGAAATTATTGCCCAAACCCTCAGTTGAGTACATGTTCGTAGTTTACGAGAAGTTTTATTATACCAAATAAGGAAAATAAATTAAATATTGATCATTTAAACAAAAAGAAACCAAAAAAACATAAAAATAATAATAATAACGATTCATAGGTCAATTAAGGTATCAAATAGCGCAGTGGAATCGATAGTGACCTTAAAAAGGAAATGTCATTCGTTGGTCAAAGTTGAAATTATTGCCCAAACCCTCAGTTGAGTACATGTTCGTAGTTTACGAGAAGTTTTATTATACCAAATAAGGAAAATAAATTAAATATTGATCATTTAAACAAAAAGAAACCAAAAAAACAAAGATATTTCTCCTTTTCATGGTTTACTTCCACTTTGTGCCTCCCAAACTTTGGACGATTACCCGCTTCAGTCCCTAAACTTTAAAATGGGACACTTAAGTCCCTAAAACTTATAAATTGGGACACTTAAGTCCATAAACTTATAAAATGAGACACTTAAATTTCTAAATTTATAAACTGAGACACTTCGACCACCAACGGCATTCAGGATTCTGTTAACAATTTTCCTTAATTGAGAGATATTTATCAGTTTAGGGACTTAAGTGTCCCATTTTGAAGTTTAGGGATTGAAGTGGGTAATCGTCCAAAGTTTGGGGGGGACAAAGTGGAATTAACCCCCTTTTCATCAATAAACGAAGGGTAATGTTATTCGCACTCTTCATATGTTATTTACACTCAAACTATTCCATTTTTTTTTTTTGATGAGACCACAGTACCCTCTTCTTGATTTCTTCTCCTAGCCTATGAATTAACTTTACTAGATTTCCTCTTACATTCTAAAGCCAATTAGTTATTCCATTACACATTAAAATGACCAATTTAAAATTGTCACTGATATGTATGATTTTTTTCTACAAAACTTCACGAATTTATATCATGCAAAAGATCAATCTCTCAATGTAATATGAATAGATTTCAAACTTCAAACCCAAAAAAAAAAATCCCAAGCTTCAAAATGACCAAAATATGCAAAATTAAAATTGAAATAAGAATATGAAAGTAAAATAAAATAATAGTTATGTAAATTTAGAAAAGAGAAGCAAAAATTGTGTAGATTAGAAAAAAGAGAACACAATTGTGCCAAACTTCCTTACATGTGAACATGAGATGGGATAGAAGAAGAAATTAAAACAAGGCAATATGATGTCATCAAGATAAAGATGAGATAGTATGAGGGCAAATAATATAACCCTGAACCAAAGAGTATAAAATAAAAGGTATCACAAAACAAAATAGCGGACTGAGTGGTAAACTATGAAAAATATCTTTCATTTTTCCCCCAAAAGTAAGCTACTAAAGATATTACGGTAGGATAGATCAAGGAAACCATCATTGTGATGGTACACTACTATAATACTGGCGATTTTTAATAAAATACTATTTATGTGCCCTCCCGAATACGTTTTCTGATTGGTGATATTTAATAGAATATATTATTTATTTACCCTCGCAAATACGTTTTCTAATCAATCATTTTAACTTTTTTCAACCCTAAGCCCTCAAATTCTACTGATCACTGACTGCTAAGAAGGAATTACGGGGCCACCAAAAATCGCTTTCAGGTACAGCACGTGGGGCCCAAATTTCTCGTGGGCCCAGCATCAAACCACAGAATAAATAAAAAGGACACGCACTAAAATAAAATCAGTGGGCTCCTAATCCCTAAACTAAACCTCCTTAGTGGGTCTGGGTAATTAGGCCTTGAATCCATCTTTCGATCTCGGAAACGTGTCCCGATCTCCGGCAACGAAATTCACCGGAATCTTTGGTTGCGCCAAGCAACGGTCCGTGTGGGTCCATCCTGGGGGTTGGGTCCCAATCACTGGAGATGGACGTGCCTTTAAAAAATAGCCCACTGACAAGTGACATTTGCATTAAAGTTGCTAAGCAATCAATTTTTAATAGTTGTACAAAAGCGACTCCATCATTATTATTCCTCTTCCTCTCTGCCATGTAATTCCAATCACCACTTCTCTATAATTTCTAACCAAACCAATGGGCTTAGTCGTCTAACAACTCCATCAAACATCACAATTTGCAGCATTATTTTAACACCCTTCCCACCCCACCCACAAAAGAACAAAAAAGAGCAGTGGAGCCCATATCTCCACCCCCCCCCGGCCAGCCATCCCTCTCCCTAGGCTCCTAGGCTCCCATAAAAGAGCTTTGCAGCCACAAGCATTTGTTGAACTCGTAAGAGTTGAAGCCAGAGCTCCAATTCTCAAACTATAATATTATAAGAAAGATTTAGTCATGCTAGGCAAGAGACCTACTCCAGTGATTGGGAACCTGACCAATTCGTTCTTTTTAGGCAAACGGGCGGCCGGGCTAATGGATGTTGCCACTAGCCCCAGAAGTCCATTGGAGTTCAGGATTCAATCCCCCAGAGGCATGAAGCATTATGATCTTGGTGGGGTTGGATTAGGAATCGTTGCTGCCCTTGAAAAGTCAGTTCATGATCATGCAAATGAAAATCTTGCTACCAAGGCCTTGTCCAATCGGAATATTAATCGGTCCAATCCAATTCCTGTTAATCCAGCTCGGAACTTTAACAATCGAGCTAACCGCAAGGGAGGTATTGAGGAAGCGGAGATGGATAGTATGGAAGATTATACTTTTGTGACTTGTCATGGACCAGGCAACAAGTCGTTTACCAGAGTGTACTATGATGGAGGGAGCAAAGGATATCAAATAAGTGATTTTGGTAGGGAAGGTTCGAGAAGTAACCGTCCCAGCTTGTTCACCTTATCTCCTGCTAGATTTGATAATTCTCCAGCTATCCCGACTTGTGATTTTCTCGATTCTTGCAACTTATGCCACAAGAAGCTTCAAGGCAGAGACATTTACATGTACAGGTACAGCATCAGCTACGCTTTAGCAGTTATCATGGTTCTCTGTCTTATTTATGTAGCTTCTTCCTTGTGGTCATGCTGTCCTACCCCATCCTTGACTGCTTATTGATCAATTATTCATATCTCGGTTTACATGATTTGCAGGGGAGAGAAAGCATTTTGTAGTACAGAGTGCAGATACAGTCACATGATGATGGATGAACACAAAGAAAAGTGTAGCTCTGAAGCTTCAAGATCAGTAGAAGTTTCAAGCTCACCTTACAAAAATGGCCACGGCCAGATACTTTCACCAGGAATTTTTGCAATCTAAACTAACAAAACGACACTTCAATCAAGCATGAAGAGTCATGCCATAAACGATTAGTCCATGTATATACGGGAAGAGTCTTATACATATGAGAAACCACCGATTAGAGAAAGGTCTCTTTTTCCTTTCTCCAATTTTGGTTGCATGTAATATTAAGCTTCAACCTCCAATTTATGAGAATTTTGAGTTTCATGGTAAAAGATCTTCAGCTCAACTTTAATTTGTCACTCGAGTGAAAGAACAAGTTTCTTGGAGGGTTTTTTTTTTTTTTTTTTTTTTTTTTTTTTTTTAAATATGGAGATTGGAGAAGCAAGAAGCTGCAAAGGCTTGTCCAAATCGAAAACCTGTTTTATTGTCAAGATGATAAAACTGAGTGAGGCCCAGGTTTTGAACCTCTAGGGAACATGTGTACCACTCCGCATCAGGAGCCATCATGAGCTCTATCTTTAGCACATCTCGAACTCTCACCCCTTCCCAAAAAGAAGAACTTCGAACCCTTATTGGTCTGATCTTCCATTCAATCCAGACACAAAAATTTAGAAGTGATTGATGCAGTCTAATAATATTATCCTTTAGTTTTTCTTTTTAAATAGAATTTATCTGGACAAACGTACAAGATGCACGTATAAGCGAAGAGCCCTATTGCTAACGCAAGGGGAAAAGGTATGTGAAAGGTGAGGTCTAATGAAGTCATGTACTGACCAACCAAGTATAGTGGCTATGTCCTTCCTTCCCACAGAACTGCTGAAGAAATTCTCAGTAACGTAGTCCGTTGGAAACTGGAAAGGTCCGCTGACTTTGCCAGTACTTCTGCTCTAGCAGTATCTCACTATAAGTTCGTTGCAAATGCCCAAGCATAGACATCAGAGACTTGTTGGTCTTTATAGATCTTCTGCATCTGACATTCTCTGTCCTATTTTATAATTTTCTACACAAAATTTATAATTATTGAATTTTAAGAAAATAAAAAAGAACTAAAACATGATATTTATGTAGAAGAAATAGTAATATAATAAAAAATGAGACAGAGAGTGACACAGAATATGAGACAGAAGATCCGTTGCGATCTTTATATACCTCAAACCACCAAAACTAGGTCGGTCTTGTGCGTACGCCATTTTTTTGGTTAGATATTATTTTATTTACATCACAAAAATATTTTCTAATCACTTTTGAATTTTCTCAACTACAATTTTTTTTCATATTATTTTATTTTGTCATTCTAATGTAAGAAGTTTAGGCAAATGTCCTTTTGTAACGTTATGCTCGCAATTGAATTGACTGCAAAAGACGACCATTTTAACGGAGTTGAACTCAACCAACAACTTGTATCTGGCTTTAGCTAGGATTGAGTAACAAAAGAGAACGAAATTCTATAAATCACCTTCGCCATGCATAGATCGATTAAGCCCACTTGTCTCTCAACTCTTGAATTCTTTTCTTTGCAACCAGTGGTACGTAAATGGTGCAAAAAAAAAAAAAAAAAAAAAAATTTCCACCGACTAGCATTTTGTCCGCTATCGAAGTTCGGATGTACAAGTGGACTGCCAACGCGTATACTCCATTAAATGGATATGCATTGTCTATATTTTGATTTTTGTACAATCACCAACAATTTCTGCCCACCACCAAATACAGCCACACCATTAGGTCATGGTGTGGTGGGAGCAGCAGAACCCAAGTCCATAAACTGACTTTTGCCCGATAAATTGTCCATGAAGGTTGCCTCGAAGGCAAAATAAAGAATGGTCATTTAATACGCAACTAAAGAAAAAAATCCAAAGTTAATAAGATCATTAAATCCCCAACGGACAAGTCTCACAGAATCTATTATCCCCAAAATAAGATACAGGCTACATATTCGTACACATTGCTGTAAGATATGGTGATCCAACAAACTGGAAGCAAAAGATTAAGGCAGAGAAAGCAAGCCAGGTATAATCAACACACTCAATACCTGCCTAGAAATCATTTGCAGGAATTTCTTTTGGTTTGTTACTGATAATATATAGGTGGCTGGGTCGTAGCAATACCCGGATATCCACCATCATAGATTGCCTGGCTAGCAGCTCCAATTCTCTGACCCTGGGGATGCATCAGAGCTTGTGCACCAGCCATTTTACTCAAAGCAATTTGTCGCTCGTAGGCTGCAAGATCCGTGGCTGAAAATCCTGGCATGTGTGCTACAGCTGGCGGGGGTAGAGGAGTGGAACTAGTCCCAGGAGGAGTAGGCTTGCTACCCCAGGAGCACTACAAGAAAGCATAAGAATATGTAATAACTTGACACCAAAAAATCTACATGCACAAAAAAGGAGCATAAGAATTTTCTGTCAGACTGAGTCTGGAGACAATAGATCATCATGACCATGCTTTATACTCCGCAGAAATCAAGTAACAATAACTCACTCACTTGGTAACTTGCAAGAAATTCGTAGCTTAGTGGCTTACCTTGATTGGCTTGCCAAACAGAATACATGCATTTCCCAACTGAATAGCACGAGCAGCTTCGGCATGGTTGCTGAATCTCACAAAACCAAAACCCTTGTCTCGTTGAACACGGACATCTTCAATCACTCCAGCTCCAAGAGAGTGGAAATGACGATGGAGATCCACCGATGTCACCTGCAATGTCTCAATGTTAAATCCAAAACTGATAAGCCTATGAGCATATCTCCCTAAGGACCATAGAATTTAGGACCCACTCCTCCTCAACCAAATATTTCATATCCAATAAAATATACAAATGGAACCCAGATAAAACTAAGTGACAAACAACTAAAGGAAAAGTGTGTAAAGGCGACATTACCAACAAAAGTAGCAGGTAAAATGTAAAAACATTTGATGAATAGTGTTTTAGTAACTATTAAAGATAAAAGCCGGCACAATGCATCAAAGAGCAAGTTAAAACTGATAGATTTATGGTTGCATGCAGCAAGAATTGTAAGATTTCTGTACTATATTCTTTTTGAGTAGTGGCTCGCACTTAACTTGGGTTAAGGTATAACAAAATGTCTTGAGCCGTAAAAAGGAAGCATAGGTATGTAGTAAACTCCGAAGCATCAATGGTTTGGTGCCATGGTCTACAAAGATTTGGCAGGAGCACTTCATAATATACGACAACAAATTGGATGAAAGAGAAATATAAGTTGCATTTGTTAAATTGGCTTAAACTCACTTCTGGGGCAAGATTGCCAACATAAACAGTGGTATATTGGGGATTATTTTCTGGAGCATCTTCGCCACTCTTCTCTTGACCATCTTCTGCATGATGAATTCATAAATTTGTAAGCTATACATTCAAATTGAGAACTGTCATTCAGTAAGATCTCTTAAAAACCATAGATGCATGGCAATGAACAAAAGAAGACAGCCAATGCATTCACGAAATACAGTGGCTAAGATGCACCTGTGGACCATTTTCCTTTAGTACTACGAAATGTAGGTGGAATCAATCACTTCAACTAGAAGCGTACAAATATCAGAATTAAACAAGCAGCAAGATTTTTGGACGTGGTGAAAGAAAATCAAATTCAACTGGACAACAAGGTGCCTAAAATTATCACATTCCAGATTGCACTAAGAACCACCTGATGTTCCATTTGTAAGTTCCACCACACTTTTTGCATCTAAGCTCTGCTTGTCATCACCGTTAGCAGCACCTTTTGCTGCCCAGTTGCAGCGTATTTGTCTGCTCCCAAGCCACTTCCCTGCAGTGTTGCAGAATGAATTACAATTCCAACAAAAGCATGACAATATTAAACTCCAGAATGTGTGTGTGTATATATATCCACGAGTAAAAAATTTCTTAACCTTTTCCCAACCCTTGATAAGTACAAAATTTCTATTGTAAATAAGCATCTCCCTACAACCTCCAACATGTTGTAGCCACCCACACAAGACAGCATCTCCTACAGGCTACAAAGACACTTTTTGTGAAGAAGTACAAAACTACGCTTCCAGAGGAGGAGAAAGGGACCTAAGGAAGTCTTTTGAACAAAAAAAGTTTACAAGTAGTTGACACTATTTGAAGTCTTGGTCCCAATTCCATGTACTCATTTCTGCCACTTCAAAATAGGCATCCAATCTTCCAGTGTAGTTTCTTTTTTAATACTAAAACATCTACTAAAACATCACCAAACATTTTCAAGCTAGACTAGATATTTTAGAACTTTCCCCCTAGAGAACATCAAACTCCTCTCGTTCCAAGCCAAAACAAGTTTGTGTAAGACATGCAACTCTTGCAGTGCACTACATAAAGCAAAAGCCACCCTAGTCCCACCGTGCACAAGCACTTCCACTCCAAACAAGCAACAGCCCATGTCCTTGACAATTTCAACAAAGAAAACTAAAGATAAGCAGTGTATTGAACATGTCCCCCAAAATACATTATATACAGTTAACAAAGAGAATGAATTAGTCCACGGATAAATTTGCCCAGGTGCAGTCCAGGTTAATACAAAAAATGAGGTTAAAGACCCCATCAAAATTGGGGAAAACTGGAATAACACCTGCTCAGATCAGTTTCTCCAGCATGAAGATTGACCAACTAGAACAATAAATGATCAGCAAGCCGATTTGCTCACCAATCCAGATCCCAATACATTATGCTTCACTCATATGGCTAAATATCTTTGCTTTTAACAAATTAACATCCACCTTCCAAATAAAGAAAATTTTAAAAGAAGGTTGGCAAACAAACAAGAACAATAAAGGGATGCCAGAAAGGTATAGAAGCAAATAGCCTCCATTAAATTATCGTGGTAGTAGATTCAAAAGAACATAGTGAGACAAACAATTTTGAAACAGCAGGAAAATCTCCTTACCATTCAAATCATTTATAGCACTTTGGGCTTCCTGGGAGGGAAAAAACATATCAAAATCATAAAGATAGGATAAAATTAAAAGTACAAATGTGAAATGCCTACAAATGGATTCAACAAGACCATGTAAGCACCTGCTGGCTACGGAAAGAAACAAATCCAAAACCTCTTGAACGACCAGTCTTTTGATCCCACATAACTCTTGCATCTCTGTTAAAAAGTGCAAAACATTTTAGCCACCTTCATTCTTACCCAAATCATAGAAAGTAGGAATGACCAAGAGAATAATGAAACTTACGAGCAGCTAGGATAGACAGAAAAGCAAGCAAACAATGTGGAATCTGTAACCTCTGGACTAAGGTCGCCAACAAAAATGTTGA